CAAGGTTTTAAAGAAACTGTAAATGCTAATAACGAGTAAAACTTTCAATAAGTTAGCGCCTACTCGAAATATAACACGTGACTCCTATCTCCCCATCCTCTCGACCTTTAACTATCAAAATTTAGTAGCACGAATGCCCCATACATAAAAATAAATCTGTCAAGTCTGAAAATTTTTGGTTCGTTCAGTCGTGAGATATAATGAAAAATAGACGGTGACACCCGAACATCTACACGCGTAAACATACGCACGCCATAGGCAAACATCTATACACTCGCATCTCATACGTACGCAGAATTTTGTAAGGATGTTTTTTGTACTTCGGGGCCGCTACATGTCAAAACGTCAAGATATTACAAAAAAAGGGGTACGAAATTCGACCGGTCATCATACTTTCCCTATATTATATATTCTACAAGAGATGGAAAAGTAAAGACTAAGTCGATCGATGGGTTTCAAATGATTAATTAATTAAACGAAAATGGATCCGGTATCAATATATAATAAGGTAATGAAAATACCCCAAAACAAATTTGTATAAAGAAAACGTACGAACAAAGAATGGAATGCAGGAAATGAATAAGCCAAGTAAAAATAATAAAAGGAAAAGACGAAAGAATTTGTATCGAGACAATGGATCGAAGAGTTAAAAAAAAAATTAAGAAATTGGCTGGAAATTAGGGTTCCTTTTCCCTTATATAATTATACAATTTTTTTTTTCTTAATTTAAAAATGAAAGAAGGCGAATTGCTGGCTTTTACTTCTTACTTTTATTATCTGGCGAAACTTTTAATTTAATTCTAAAGCGAGGAGACGTACGACAAAAGAAGTTTTGTTTTTTTTTTCTGTTTAAAAAAATATATGTTATGCAGATTTGGAAGGGAAATAAGTTTTATTTTATCGAAGAAGACTTATCTCGAGATTTAGAAAGATAAAAGAAGATCGGAAGTTAAAAATAGACAATAAATACGGATAAAGAAGGAAGAAAGTGAAAGAAAAAATCGAATCAATGCTAAATTTTAGTGACGTGATCAACGCATTTCTTGCTCTTTAGTACTGATTATTAGTTACTGTCGGCTCACTGTTAGAAGGTACATTTTTTGATTTTTGAAACAAATACGAATGTTCTGTACATTTAAATAATTTTAATAAATTTTAAAAAATTAAAAAAACTCGTTTATTGTTATGTTTTTTTTTTGAGATTGGAATGGGGGTGGTATCATCTCGTCATCTTCGTCAATTTTACGTACCATTCCCACCATTCCTACACACCATTCACACCATTCCAGAACTCCATTCTCATCATACCTACACGCCATCCCCATCATCCCGACANGGATTGTCATTAATTGCCGAACAATGATTTTGACGGCCTTAAGCTTTCGGAATATAGCTGACGACCATTTCTGACGTCACGAAGAAATAATCCGATTGGCCGAACGACTCCTAAAACAGGGGAGTAATAGCGAAGTAAGTAAGAGCCAATGTGTAAACGTCGTTTAATGTAAACTCTGTCTCTGCAATCGGCCGTTTATGCCCGGTGGGTACGAAGGCTTTTTATTAGGCATTATGGGTTCGATCAGGTCCGCGACCAAGCGAAGGCCGGCATATCCGAAAAATTCCCGGGGTTTTTCGATTCTTACGGACTCCATCCCGGATCCCCGAGGCGGTAGGCTAACGCCTTAACCGTTCGGCCATCCGTCCGTCACCTATATTAAGGTGTGACGATAATAACGAAAGTACTGTCCGAGCAAAATTTAGCCCGGAAGATAAAATAGAAATTGGATCTTTCTATCCAGCTAAGTATCGTACTTAAAAATCAACATTTGCCGGAATATCTTCTACAAAAACTATCATGAATTTAATTAATTATCACCAAATTATAATTAACCATCAGTAATTAATTAATTCTTAAGAAAGAACATTAAATTGCCACAGGTTCCGATAAATGGCGTAGGCATAATCTGAAGTTCAAACAGAGATTTTCTTTGAAAATACAGTATTAGGAATTTGCGTGTAAACCAAGTATTAATTAATCTCTTATTTTATATACGACTTTAATAAATGCGCGAGTATAACGTACTCTGTTACGATAATGTTGAAGAAGGCCCGAAAGGAAATACGTCATTTATATCGCATTACGAAGATCTACTTATTGTCAGTCTATAAACTGGATCATTTCTTACAACAAAATAGCAATTACATTATTATTTGCATTAATTTTTGATTACTTAATGTACCGAGTACAGTAGTTATTCCGACATAGCTACATATTTTAGTTTCTACGTATTAATATCGTTAAGTATCGTCTCAAGCGTCTACCATTAATTATCTGTCTAATTTCGGGAGGTCATCGATTGTTGTGGTAGGCTGATAACGAGTTGTCGTGTTCGACCAACAAGAAAACTGTCGGGCGATAATGATAAGAGATAATGAACTCGACAACTTTATAAGTTATTCGCAAACTTTTTAAGCTAAAAAAAGTCATTTCCAAGAAATTAAAAGGAAAGCAAATAGTGTATATAATACTTGTACTTAATTACTTTTATTATGTAAATTAAAATTTAATATTCAGATTTACCTGTCATATAGCTTTTTTTTATGTTTTGACTCTCCTCCCTGTGGCACCGAAAAGAAATGTTTTTCTTTTTAATCAAGCCTGTCGTGGTTCGACCGGGTCTACATGGGGGAGGACGGGTGGTGAAGGACAGACCACCTCCCAAAAATTTCTTTAGTCGCTGGCCTGGATCGATCCCGGGTCCCCCGGGGAGCTAAGTTGACGTCTTAATCGACTCGGCCGGCACATAAAATAGATTATCATTATCGCGATAAAAATAATTATCTACATTAAATGGAAATGAAAAGTTTTATGATAAAAAAGAATTCGAATAATTTCGTATTTATGTACAGAACCGCGTTCACAGTGGCCGAGTGGATAAAACCATGGAACGCTAGTTGCGGGTTCGCTCCCGGCCAACGGGCTGACCGCGTGGAGTTTTCCAGGTATCCTGGCGTTTGTAACTCCTAAATAGAGGTCAATTGACCGTAGAAAGTCCTCTCGGGAGTCATCGCCCTCGTGTTACTTTGCCGTAAATCGTCAAACAATATATAATCTTACACGAATCAAATTAATTTTCTGTAGGTTTTATAAAGAAATTTCTGAGAGGGCGGATGGCAAAGGATCGAATGTGGCTGGCAATCCCAAGAATATTTCATAGACTATATGAACGAAAACAAATACAATTCATATCGTATCCATAAAAGGAATTAATACGGACTATAGATGTAGAATATATAGGGTGCATTTTTTATCTTGAGACAATGAAATAACTTAATTGGATCTCATTATTTTGGAAAAAGGTATAGACAAAAGTTGTAGGGCGTCGAGGGGGCAATCAATTGGTGACCTCAGACACGACCTTGACCTTAGAGGTCATTTGGAGGTCGAGTCTGTTTTTTCGATGGGAACACATATTTTTCACCCCGGAAATGGAAGGAGCGGGAAATTTCACAACCGGATGTACCTTTGACCTTATTGTCTAGGTAAAAGGTCAAGATTATTTTAAGGTTAAAATTATAAGCTTTTTCTAATGGGAAACCATACATTTTATTACTGGAATAGGCGGGGAGGTAAAAGTTACATTTTTTCATGACCTTATTACTTTGAACTTTAAAAGCATTCACTACTTTTTGCATTACCAAGGAGTGACGATGTGGATATAGTTGTTTTCTGCTCCCTTTGAGGTGCTTATTTTCAGTGAACCTCCTTGCCTCTGACTATTGTGCTGCTTGTTTTCGGTGAGTCACTTTAATTCTTAACATTGTTTGAGATGTTGGTTTTGGGGAAAATTTTATAACAAATGTTCGAAAGAATGTCCTTCCATTTTAATGCGTTTATTGAGCCACGCTTACAATTATCACGCTCGAGATGACCTTCTGAGGTCAAATTTGGGTACTCAAGGTCATGGGTGATTGTGAAATTTCCCGTTGTTTCCATGTAAATGTAACTTTTACCTCCCTGCCTATTCCTGTAATAAAAAGTATGGTTTCCCATTAGAAAAAGCTTATAATTTTTACCTTAAAATAATCTTGACCTTTTACCTAGACAATAAGGTCAAAGGTACATCCGGTTGTGAAATTTCCCGCTCCTTCCATTTCCGGGGTCAAAAATATATGTTCCCATCGAAAAAAACAGACTCGACCTCCAAAGGGCCTCGAAGGTCAAGGTCAAGGTTACATCCGAGGTCACCAATTGATTGGCCCCTCGATACCCTACAACTTTTGTCTATATCTTTTTCCAAAATAATGAGATCCAATTAAGTTATTTCAATGTCTCAAGATATATATCTGTATACAGGGGCAGATTTAGGAGGTGCATAGGGAGCAGCTGCATCCCCTTCTAGGATTTTCCCCAGTAAAGTCTGAAGATTTTGTAAGGCGTATTGTTTCTAATCCTACCAATACCGGGCCGATTTATATATCTAAGCAATTTTTTCAACTCGCCCCTCATTGACGAGTCTTGCCCCAATGATTTACTCCCGGATACGGGACTGGACGAATAACAAAAAATTATAATACTTAACTTAAATATGGCATTTTCATAGAGCATAATAGAAAATTTGTCAATTATAAAATAGTTTTTTCTTTTTTAAATCTTTTCCCCACGGGTCCTAAGAGAGCTTTTTTAGCGAGTCCATTATGGATTCGACAGGGCCTAAACCGAGCAGTCGAGTGGTGAGGGACGGGGCCCGACATATCGAGATAGACAATCTCCCAAAAAATTCCCGCAGTTTTCGATCAGGGATCTCCCAGAGCGGTGGGCTGGGCGGTCAAATCGAGGGTTTTTAAACTGAAACCAAATTGCGCATTTTAATTATTTTAAAAAATAATCAAATTTCGTTGTAAATATTTTTACATTAAATGAACATTACCCATTAAATAAGCTAATTTTAAAAATTATATCAATTAATAAAACTATATATTGTACTTATAAAATTTCACGAGAATTTACTGTAAAATGCTACCTATCGGTGACCACGGTGATTAACATTCGAATTAATTTGAATTCGAGAAAACTTTTGAATATATCGAAGAGTAAAGAACACAATACGCAGGTAAGATTTGCCATCTTAATAAGAAATTTATATAATTATTTGAACTTTAAAGTAAAAACTATGATTCTATATATGGTCCAAAAGTCAATTAACTATTGTAAAGACTAAATTACTCTTTTATTTTGTAACGAATTATTCTACTGTATTGTTCTAAACTCGGCTTGCCGTTCATATACTAGGAATAGGCAAAAATACACGGTTAACTGATTTTTGGGTCATTCTATATATATATATACTAACAATATTGCAAACGATTTAATTAATATTTGCCATCCGATTTAAAGTATAACCGGCATTCTTAAGCTTAGAAAGTCATTTCGCTAATTATATATTTATTTTTTAATTAATAAAAAATGTTCGTTTTGAACAGTTTAGAATGTTTTTAACGCGATTAAATTATGAAAAAGTTTATAAAAAACAGTCGCTTTGAATTGACGAAATTCGTAGGTTAACGGAATTCGAACAGAAAATTTCGTTCGAACTATTTTAAATATGTTTTATTAATTTTAAAATGTAATAGAATTGAAATTAAATTAAGTTAAAAAATTGTGTCCGAGTATCTTTTAAAGATTTTCGTAAATATTTATCTCGTTAATTCCTAGATAATTTTATACATTTTAGCGTGATTTATGTATGTATAGTGTTATTCGACGTTCGTATAGTAATAAGAATGCTTTAAATTATGTACGGATTTATCGAGATTTCGTTCAATAACAATTTAAGAGCCAACAATTATTAGATATATTCAATTGTTATCTGGATTAATAAATAAATCAAAATTGTATTTACGTAGTTTATTATATGATAATTGTGAATTTTCGCAATTACGATGAATGTATTTTAGTTCGAGTTTATTATCAATTTTTAATGTGACAATTGTTTGTAGGTAAATTTTGAAGGCCAAGATGCCACGAAGAAACGAATACTCTTTGGCAAACGAGATAAATCATCGAGAATCTCGCTATCGTGGTAATAGCGAGATTAATAATCGATACAACGGTTCTTCCCGTGATCCTTTCTATTCTTTCTTAAGAACCGTGTCCCTTTGTTCTTCTCGGCTCGACTGTACCAATCGAATCGATGCCAATCGCTCGATGGAACCTCAAATTGTATCGCCATTGACGTCCTTTCGATCGAACGGCAATCCGACGTCTCGCGCGCACTCTTACGATGGATCGTATCTGCGTGCCTATACTCAGTATTGCAGTCCCGTAATTACCTCCTACGGTACTATTAGTATTCGACTCCAACGAAACATTCGAGTGGATATCACCGTTGACAAAGCGGTTCGCGTGGTAAATCTTCCGGGCAGATGCGTGGCTGCCATCAATTGCCTCGGCGACAGAAGTTGCATCGTTCATCCATCTTGTAAAATCTTACAAGAAGGCGTAACCGTCAATATGGAAATTGGGAATCGTTTAGTGAAGTTTTCGAAGCGTGGAATTACTTTTACTTCTCTCGGACACAGTCTCGTGTATTTAGTAGATGCTTCTGGAACAAAATCCACGGTAGAATACTTTCGGAGTTTTAATTACGATGTCTCTTCCGATGTGTTTTTCACGAAATCCACGTGTGGTAAGAAAGCGTTGAATAATTGCTTCTTGAAAATCGAAAATTTCGTTCATCGATATAAGAATAATGGAAATAAGATATGGATCATTGCCGACGTTTGTATACAACAGAATTTACTGGGAGACGTTTGCGTAACACGTGATTTTAGTAGAAGAGTCATACACACGTCACCTACACTGGGTACCATGTCGGTGTCAACGCCTTGCGTTTACATGGCTGCCGGATGCGATCCCGAGCGATACGTCTTCGTGCAGAGGGGTAAGAAGAAATTGAATTCTCACGTAAGATCTTTTAAAGTGAAAAATGGAACACAGGTAGCCGGATACGATTGCAAAGGAAAATTGATTCTCCATTGATTCCCGTTGATATCTATATAGACTTTAAACTGACCTCAGTATATTGTTATTTATAAATAGATAAGTGACTTGGTTCTATTTCTGTTCTGATATATTTTAAAATAAAAAGTGTTAATATCTACTGATAATAATTTGATTTTTGATAATTTCTTCAGAAACTACGATAACATCTTTCTTGAAATCGAATGTTTTGTAGTTTTAATACGTTGACGTCCATATTTATTTTTAAATAAGAACCTACACTGTAGGATGTAAAAGATATAAAGGATATAAAAGATGAAAGCGCGCAAAATAATTTATATATAAAGTTAAAATTTTCGCATTTTGCAGGTAAATATAAAGCCGAAATTGACGAATGAGAATGCAGCGTTGCCTTCGATAAACGATAGAATTCTCATCCAAGTTCAGTTGTAAAGCGATAGAATAGTACAAAACTATATTTGGGTGCTCCATTAATTACGTGTACAATTTAAGAAAGGGGCAAGTCGCGAAAAGTAGGCCTATATCTCTGTAAAAGAGGGAAAGGGGATCGATGTATTGTCTAAGTGGACTTTAGTGGCATACGAATTTGTTCTTATACCTCTACTTATTAGCGTAAGTAAACTGCCAGTTAGAAAATATTTGCTGATATTTTTAAAGCGATTTCTCTAATGTCAGGGAGGTCCATTGTTTATACAGTATATGCAATCTACTTTTGGAAAACACCTAAAGGGAAGCAGTTTTCCAAAAGTACAAAGTATAACTATGTAAATAAACCAGGGCTGTGAAGTCGGAGTCGGAGTCGTGGAGTTAGGTGTTTTAGCCGGAGTCGGAGTCGGATGATAAGGAAAAGTCGGAGTCGGTAGATTTTTACGCGACTCCACAGCCCTGAAATCAACACTCGCTATAATCAAATGCAAAAACAAAAGACTTAAAAGCTGAAAAACTAAAGAGTAGTATAGTACGTATTCTCGTGTCGTACCCCGTTCCTCACTACACGAGTGCCTTATTGTGGGTCTGGCCGAAACTACGATGAACCCGGGAAAAGGTCATCTTAGCGCCCGCAGGAAGGAGAGTCAAAAATATAAATATGTGCTCACAAAATATACATTATCATCGGGTACAAAAAAATATAAATGGTCCGTAAACAATTACCAAACGCTTTTATTTACATTGCTTTGTATCACGTCCCGAAACTTGCAACTCGAGTTTAATCCACTTATAATTAAGATAAAAGGCCAAAGCTTTGAGGACATATCTGTAACACTAAATTATAATATTCATTGTCACAGATATGTCCCCAAAGCTTTGGCCTTCTACCTTAATGTTTTAGGAGGTAGTCCCACCCCGAAACTCTATAAATATAACCAGAAGAATAACGTAATTGTGTAAGTACACTGCAGTAATGTGTACGGTTGGGTAACCACCCCATCATCCCCCACCCCAATCTCGAAAAGCGTGACTGATAAAAGCATCATTTAAAAATATATCAAAATTATTAACTATTTCGAATAAATTCTGACGAAGACGAATAAAAATTCCTACAAAATATTTTGAAAGTTATCTACTTTAAAAGTTGATTTTAGATCATTTCGGATTATTAAATTCAATTAACAAATCACTAAGTAAAATCAACTGACACGAATTAATGGAAATTTCAAATAACAATTTAATTTCTCAATAGCAACCTTTAATGTGACTGTGGAGATTAAACTTTAAGTTTAATCTTTATTAGCAAGTTTATACCTTTGATTGCTGAGAATAAAATGGAATTAAATTAGATGAAAACATCCGAAATCGTGTCGCGAGTTCAAGCGATTCGTAATCTGTAAGGTTGGATGGGATTGGATATCGATCCAATCCAATCCGATTCAAACTTACAGATTATGAGCGAGGCAACGCAACGCACGAGCCATCTGCCAAGGACGAGTTCCTCTCAGGATGACTTTTATGGAAAACTGACCTCTATTTAGATGTTAGGCATCAGAAAATGTCTGAAAACTCCACGTGGCGAGCTCTTTGGTGAGGCGCGAAACCGTCATCGGTGTTCAGTAAGTAGTTTTATCCACTCGGCCACCCGCGGGCCCATCGGCGCGTTATAGTTTCAAAGAACCCGAGCCAATTCGAATTAGAAGGCCCCGCGTACAGTGTCGACTTCAGGCATTTTTCTACGGAGGAATTTTTTGGGGGAAATATTTTCTTAGAAAAAATTGGTTTGGGTCTCCTCGTTAGCGGAAGCCCCAGGTAATTGCCCTTTTTGTCCATAAGATAAGGCACCACTGGGTGGGCCCGTAATCTGTAAGGTGTTTGGCTCAAACACGACATTAGCGAAGCCATTGAAAAGAATAATCGATTCTGCAGCGCACTTTAAAGTTTCTAAATAATCGATTTGAAAGAAAAGTTTTAAAAATTCCGAAAAAGAAGAAACGAGAATCTAGAACGAGTTATCGCCATATTTTATCGATTATCATATTTGAATGGAAAAGTAGGGCGAAGAAAATTAGCATCATAGATCGACTTTCTATAAAAGATGGCCATCTTTTTATTATTATTTTTGTTTTCGAGACGGTCTCGTGACGATAAATTAACTTCGTCTGTATAAAAGTGTGAGATGGTCTAGCATAAAATAACAAAGCAAATGGTGGCTGCTTCGCCAAGATACGGTATCTCGACTACGCCTTTAATGACGGAGGAAAGTTAAGATGTAAAGTTGAAAGATGCTTAAGGGCGACTTTTTTAAAAAAGAGCTCAAAAATTTCTTTTTTCTATAACGAATATAATGGCCTTTTACATACACCAACCTGTAAACCCGTTAGAGACTTTTATATGTTTTAAAAAAGTTACCAGGAAGCTTCAATGGAAGGTGTATCTTGTTATATAATAATTACAATTAAAGTGTGTAATTTTGATGGTGTTAATTGATAAAAAAAAATAAAATATTTGATGACCAAGGCGTTTAGGCGTCGGCTTACTATTTGGTGTCCCAAATTAGAATTCAAGAGGAACTCTAGGAGTTTTCTGAAATGGTCGATCCTGTACATGTCGGTCAAGCCCGCCGTCACGGTGTCGGCGGGCTAGGCCGACACGGGCCTCGTCTCGTGACGGGCATAATTAAAAAAAGTGTGGCCGCAGGGAGAAAAGAAAAAGACAACTTAATTAGATACGAGATGAAAACCCGGAAAATTCCATTAGACCAGCCCGTTGATGAGTGTTTAGTAGTTTTTATACATTCGTTTCTGGTGGCGGGCGAAAAGAGCCAAAGACGAGAATTAAATCATTTAATTAATTAATTTTATCACGTAAATCATTTACAATAAATTTAAATAGACATTTTCAATTTTTATAATATTAAAAATATTACATTAACAATTTTGAACGCTTTCATTTAAATCCCGAAACTCAAATTTCATCCACTTCTAATTAAGACAGAAGGTCGAAACTCTAAGAACATACCGAAGCCTTATGACCACGATTGTAATGATGCTTTAGAGATGTGGCCCAACTCTCATCATCCTCCCCACTTCGAACCCGCTAAACATAACCGAATGTGCAAATGCTCCGTAGCGATGTATTCGGTGGAGCAGTGATCCCCCATCCCAAAACACGGAAAATAAAAGAGCAAATAAAAAACATTTTCAAATACGAATGTATTAAAATTATTTCAGTTAATTTTGCAAGAGAAATGTATTTAATTCCTCATTTGTTATAGTTATAATCTAATTTCTTTTGTTTATGAAAAGTTTTAAAATTTTCAATACATTTTCGTAATTTATTCGTTACTTCTAACGAACCACTTAATGCAAATACCGAAATTTGTAAAATTTGAAATTTTGTTTAAATTATTTTATTGAAACTTTTCAAAGAATGCTTTATTCACTTAAATTTTGTATTAAATCTCTCAAATTTTGTTTCAATTTTCTGGGAGAACAATTTATTTTAATCCATCTCCCGGTATATATGTAAAAAGTATATATACACATATATATATATACCTTTTTAAATGAGATATTTCAGTATTTCAGTTTAACGCTATATTCGATTTAGTGCCTATTCATAGTTGAAGAAATCAGATGCTAAATCGAAGTTTTACTGTAGTTAGAAAGTGTAATGGTTTTGAATGAAAGAAAAAAAAACAAGTTATGTGTCGCGCCATTCTGTTACGAGATTTTATTAAAAAACTAGCGGGTGGGCCCGGCGTTGCTCGGGCAAAAGGAACGATAACTAAGATAAAGATTATTACGTTACAGTCAACCTTACCCGTTTTCACAGAATGCAAGAATTGGGTCCCCTTG